ACCACACTGCACGGTAGGAGGGGGGGGGGGGGGGGAAATAAAAAAAAAATCAGTCTCCATCCATATCATACTTTCTCAAAGGAAAAAAAAGATAGAATAAGCACGCCAAACAAAAGAATCTATATTATTATATAGTGGTGCCTATAGCACCACTATTAAAAGGACTGTCTGCTGTTGTTTTCAAGTTGTCACCTTTTATTATTTTATCCAGTTAAAGAAGAGGAAGCACCTTACCTGGATATCACTCAGCTTATTCAGGAAACGGGATGTTATCTGAGGTCCATTCTCCATAGTTGGAATGTGCAAATGCTGACATTGAATAAAGAAGGAGGCAAGGGGGAAGACAGAGAGGTTCACTAAGAATTTTAATAAATATTTATCAAGCTTTCTAGCTCTCCTTACAAGTAGGCAAGTATTGTTGAAATGTTTTCTATAGGAGGGCATGCTGAGCCAGCAAAAAGTAGGATTAGTTGAATTGTTATGCTGTTTTCAAACAAAGGCTAATCTAAGATCTGTCCAAATCTTCGGAAAGATCTGTCCAAAATGGAGAGCATATTGTACAGGCAAGAGTAGAAACATTACATACAGCATTTCATTTCAAAGTATATAATGCAGAAGCACAACAGGTACATTTATAGTACTTATTATCTCTCAGCATCTTGATGTCTCTCATGTTATCTCATGAGATGTTAGCATCTCATCAGATGTTAGCATCTGATAATACCAGTATATTTATTCCATCTTATTAATTCAAGAAATATCACTTTACAGGCGTTTACTGTACTTGTCATATTTAATGGAACAAAGCACATCAAGATAGGCAGCTGCAATAACGAGCCTTCTGAATTAACTTTGTGCTGGCTAAATAGCACCAAGTCAGCTTATCAGACTGTGGAATTCCAACTGTGTAGGAGAAATCTCCCATACAGTGGATTTCTGCTCAGAAATTTGATTCCTTGCAAAAATCCTTCCTGTCCTCACCTTTCCCAGGTGCCTTCAAATTTGGAAAAAATGTTCAATAAAGGAAACGGGGGAGAAGATATTTTTCTGTATTTTTAAAGAGGCTGGGAACTTTTATTTTTTCCTTGTGCTAGGATTTGAAATGTTATGATTTCAGCTATTAAAAAACCACAGAAGATGAGAGGGAAAATTATCTTCTGACAACATACTAGTAACACACTTGAGAAACAACATAGTGACACTGTTAATCTTTCCAGGAGCCTCTGGCAGCACTCCTTTTTTCTATCTAACTTGTTTTTTGCTTCAGCTGCAATTAATTATGATAAAATTCTAAAGAAAGAAAAAAGGGAAGGGGGGAAGATACATTTTCTTACCTTGCCCTTATATAAAATTTTAGAGATGGGACACACAATACAAGCTGTTCCAGCACCAAACATCTCCTTTACTCTGTTCTCTTCCAAGGCAGTTGTCAGGTCACTCATGGTGATGTATCGCTCAGACACTTTAAATTCTCCCTGCACAGGAAGAATCAACCATAAAAATTGTAAAAAGCTTAAAAATGGTCTGTATTCCTGTTTTCCATGTTGAAACATCTCTAAGAACTATTAGCCTAGTGGCAACAAGTCAAGTTTTGGCTGGGATCTTGTGGTCTTTTCAAACCTCCCAGTATCCCAGGAGATAGTCTCTAATCAAAAGAATGACTTTCAAGGAAGCCAGTGGTTCATCAGATACGATGCTGATGGTTAAATGGCACTTTCTTCTGATTTGGTACGAATATCAATGTTGCATTAGGGAATAACACAGCAGAATTTGTCATGGGGTTATGTGACACAGGATCTGACTACTCATGATCTCAAACATGCTACAGTTTGTACAAAAATTACTCAATTATGTCAACAGAGCTTTGCATCCTACTCAGACGATTCCTAAACAAAATACATTCTGCTAATTCCACCTGCAATGGCATAACAGCAACTAGATGTGATATAATTCTTTAATTCCTGATGAAATTTCACACTGTAGCCTGCACACAGCTGTCACCTACAGAAATTAACTGTACTGCAGGTATGAGTAAAGCAATTCACATTGGACAGTCTTAAGAGGAAGTGTTTTACCTTCTACAAGTGTTGAAGAATGCATAGCAACTGATGGAATGCATAGCAACCGATTGAGCGGACATGTTTAAAGAACAAAAATAAACATCAAACTTTGAAAATTTTCTTTCATGGATTTATGTGGACTTTATTGTCACAGAATCGCCTAGGTTGGAAGGGACCTTTAAGATCATCCAGTCCAATCATTAGGAAAAAAAACAAAACAAAACAAAAAAAATCCCAACCAAACACACCCACAATAAACCATATTCCCAAGCACCATGTCAATTCGTTGTTTGAGTATCTCCAGGGATGGTGCCTCAACCACTTCCCTGGGCAGCCCATTCCAATGCCTGATACCACTTTAAGTGAAGAAATTCTTACTAATATCCAACATGAACTTCCCCTGGTGCAACTTAAGGCCATTTCCTCTTGTCCTATCGCCTGTAACTTGTCCAATCAGACCAAACTAAAGCTTAGCCTTTGTTTTATATATAAGCTCTTCAACATGAAACAGAGATAGCAGAAAACATGATTAGCTCTGGACAGGATAGTATTTGGAGAGAGAGGCAGGGAACACCGTGTAAGCAGAGTTTCAGGCAGGTTAGGGAATGGAGGTCAGGAAGAAGTGAACAACCTTTGTGAGAGTAGAAGACACGTAATTATTCAAGAGGACCCAGGTGAGAGTCTGGTATCTCACATACAAGACCTATCAACTGGCAATATCTCTCTGTCTTGTAAAAGAGACTGGACTGAGAATTGTGCATGCACATCTGCACTAGGGGAGTACCAATATGAATAAAGATGCACAAGAGTTCAGTGCAGGTCCACAAATGGCACACATTTGCCACAAAGTGCATGCCCAGCTCCCTTCACTACAAGTTAGATTTAAGTGATATAACTGCAAACTGTATTTCAGGAAGTCTTTCGGCTACAGGTGGTTGGAAGCTGAACGAAGGAGAAAGTACCACACAGGCCTGTGTTACTCCTGTTGCTCCTCCCTAAAGATAAGCCTGGTGAGAACCAGGAGATGGGATACTGGGCTTGATGGACCTTTGGCTGTATAGTACTCTTATCCAAGCCACAATAAAACCTTGGAGTATGGTACAGGGAGAGCGAACAATCTGCGCATTTCAAGCCATAAGGTAGTCCCAAATGTCCAAATGAGTATTTGGATGGATACACTTACAGAACTGGAGTCTGGAAGCAGACAGATGACTTCAAGACTGATTTTAGGCTGCATGCTACTTATTAAAAATAAGGGTGGAACCATGAGAACTAAGTGGAGAAATAGTGTGCTGATAACTGAAGGATAGCTGTGGTCATGCACGGTAATTGTCCGTTTCCTTGCTTTAAGTTGCTGGTACCAGTGGATTTAATGAGAATTTTCATGTTGTATACTACATGGAGCTGCTTTAACAAGCTTGGTATTGTTCTGTGTGACAGGTGTGGGTATTCTGATGATGTTGCTAAGAAACTATGAATTAGCATGCCCATAGTTCCTATTTAGGTTAAGAGATTTGACCAGATCAGCTGAACTTCAAGATACTGAGCACCAGGAATGCTTTCTTTTGTCAATATTATAACATGATAGTTGAAACCATTACTGCCAAGGTCAAAACACTCACCCAGTTGCGTGCCAGATCCAAAATGCTTTGTCTTGTCACTCCTGGAAGGATGATGCCATCTAAGGGTGGGGTTGCTAGTTCATTTTCTGTCAAACACAAAAGAAATAGAAACACTGGTTGAAAAACAAAGAAATGAAAAAAAAAAAGTGTTTACTGATATTCCACCAAATATGAAAATTAAAAAGATTAATCATATCACAAACCCAGTAAGATGCAATATTTATCAGAGTTTTATAAGAACACAAGTTACACAAATTCAATTCCAGTAAGTTGTCTTTGAGTGTTTGAAACCTTTTAAGTACCCTTCAGTGGGTGGGGAAGATTGTAATAGATTAATAAATACAGGGCTAACACCTAGTAGTAAGTTTTATTCCTCAGTGTGTTATGGATTAGCTGTATAACTACTGGGAACCCATGAAAGGCTTAGTCTTCAAACTCAGAATAGAGAGGCACAAGGGAAAGCAATGCCTAATAATCCCAGGGCAGATCATGACTTTTCCTGAAGCGCTTTACTTAATTTAAGAATATAGGGTTCACTATACCTACTTCCTAGCATTAATATGAAACATCTATCAGAAATTTTGAGGCTCATTTACTGAACAAGCAAAGCATCGGAAACCTTTCCAAATGCACCTTGAGGGGACACTTTTGTCTTAGTGTAGACATCTTTTTTTCCCCTAATTTTCTCTTTGCAAAAAAGAGAAACCCTAATAAAATTCCAAAAGCACTAACTATTCAAATGGTTCAATTAGTTTGTTAGCTTGCTTTTCATAAAAAATGAAATGGTAGATAAATGGTAATTCATACTTGGTAAATACCTAAATAACAATACAGAAGCTTGTATGTAGTCTTTGTTCCTCCATCTGACTTTTTCAGCAAATCAGAGCTAATCTTTTTCATTTTAAACCATCACTTTTATTTGAAACCATCACATAGCATACTTGGTGGTTTCTATTATCAGAGAATACTGAGCATTTACTCTTTCAGCCAGCCAGCCTTTTTTAAGGCAGTCTCAGATTTGCACTGAGAAGTGAAGACATCCACAGTCTTTCAGTAACACTCTTAATATCTTTTTCTAACCATTTTCTCTTCCCAGTGAGAATTCATTATATTTCTTGATCTTATAAGGATACTACCCTACTCATTAAATCCACAAACCATTAAGGGTTTTGATTCATTTTTACCTAGATCACATAAAAGAACAAGATATGTATCTGCATGTTTTTATTTTGCCCCCTTCTCCCTACCCATAAAAGATCACTCAATCCAGGTCTGTTTGAAGCAGTCTCGAAGGAGAAGCTGTCCTAAAAATGTTTCTACAGGTCCTGTGAAAACTTGGAGCTGGGTAGAAGAGAAAAACACACTGTATCCTTGGACTAAGAGCGCAGGTTGAGCTCAGGTGTTTAATACTCTGTTTTCAACAGTCAGCTAGATAATTCTGTGTACAAACACCACCTGCCAGCCAGTGCATCCACAGGGTCCAGACTGACTACAGCATGGGCTCTCTTCTGCTCTTCAAGAGGGGGTTTGGGAGCTGCTGGGGTGGGACAGGGGAAATGGAGGATAAATAAATGGAATCGTTCACTGAATCTGCTACTCACTGTCCATTCTCTCAGGAAATGTCTGTTACTTTTTAACGCAGCCACCCCTGCATTTATTAATTTGGACTAGAAGTTTTTCCTACCTATGGTTCCATGTTCCTCTTATGAGGATACACACACACGTAAGTAATAGATATAAACTACCATACCAAAATGTATAAAAATGCTGCGCTACAATAGGCTATGTATTCTGCTCTGGTTTGAATAACCAACAGTGCTATTCCCCAACCTATCCCAGACTCCTAAGCACAGGAGTGGTCTCTTCTTATTCCTATAGTTAGTAACAATAGCTTTCCATTTTTAAGAGTCTGTCTATAGCACCACTACAACTTGTGATTCTGGCACAATTATCAAAAGAAGAGGACTTAAAAACTTTCCATGAGCCATATGGCTCACCTGATTCTGAACATTGAAAATCTGATGTTCTGCATCTGTGACCCAGCCATAAACAAGTTCTCTCCTTTCTCTAACAGAAAACTTCAAATAATGTGGACCTTAATACCAAAGACTGTGACTACACACCAAATAATGTTCTCTACTCGGTGAATGTTGCGACAGACCTTGGCCAGGACCTGTTTAAGCTCAGCAACATATATTAATTGATTTGAGCTGGTTTGAAAAGGTGCCAGGCCAAACCAGCCGCCAAACAGCACTGAGCAGACAGGACATGGGAGTCTCAAAATGTTTCAAACAGCCTGCTCTGCAGAATTTTGTCAAGTACACATATGATGCCTACCAGCCTGGGGCCACCCAAGGAACATCTGCTCCCCTGGTATCCGGCAGAGATGATAACGCTATACAACACAGCATGCCAAAAACCCTCATCCTCTCTGTGAATGGATGCCAAACCAGGCTGCCTATGGCATCAGTTTGTCCATCTCCAAAAAAAACCTGACTGTGAGCTCACAGACTCCATTTGGCTTCTGAATATTTTGAAGGGTTAGAAGCCTTCAAACATATAGTAGCAAAAAGGGGGAGAAAGGCATTTGAAGGAAAATTTCAGGGTTTCTCTTCCATTGACTACTGTTACTGTTATAGTAGTAGCACTACCAGTCCAGTGCCCCATCACACCAGTCACAGTCTAGGCATGCTGTAACAATGGAACTCCATCAGAGTGTTTAAAAGGACTTTTAAAATGAGTTCTTGCATATTACACAGCTTCAATCTTTACACATGTGTATTTATGAACACATAGGAGATAAGATTCCAAACGTGGGATGCCTCCAGTAGTAGTCACACAATAATAACGCTGAGAAATTCACCAAAATATATTGTACCAAAATCATAATGGATGCCAAGTGAACTTCAGGGTCAAGGAGAACCCAGGAAACCCCGATTTCACTATTATTAACAGCTGACTTCCTCTAACAGGTTTTTTCTGCACCCTTCTATTTCTTCCTATTTCCTTCAGGCTTTTCTTCTACTCTCCCCTCATGCAATCACTCTGTCTTCTCATCTCTGTCGATTTATTTTCCTCACTTATTTTCCCCTCCTTTTCTTTGTCTGCCATCTCATTCATCTCCTGCTCTCCACTCCATGCTATTGCTATGGCTTTCTACTAAAGCAGAAGGTATGATCCTTATTCTGTAGGTAATCTACTTGTACAAGAAACTTCTGCAGCACAAAGAATCCTCCACCTACAGAAGACTAAGCAAATTTGCCTGATGTTTCACTTGACTGTTCCAGAGAATCTTTTAACATATTTATTTTTTAATTTATGTAAGCTATTTTGAAGTAGGCACTATTAATCCCCATTTTAATATCAGCACAAAAATATTAAGTAATGCCTGCATGCTATTCACAATGCCTTAACATTAAAGCTAGAAGTAGAGGCCAGATGGTTCCAAATCATTCTGAAGACATTTAATTTTTGGAAAGTGCAGACAGATTTCATAGTTAGCAACCTTCAGGTGGGACATATGTTTCAATTTTAAGGTTTTCCATAAAGTCAAGCCTATATTCTAGGCAGAAAACCAGACACTATTAAAGAAAACAAGTTTCAGTGTTAACAGCTTCTTGGGATTGTTATGTGCTCTGAAGATGCAGGTGGAAGGAACTGTAGGGTGACCAAAATTTTCACTTTGCGAACATAAACTGTAAACAGTATTTGATGAATGAAATATCACACTCCTGTATTTATGCAACAGCAGGGATCCAGATTTGGTCCTATTATAAGCCTCGGCCAGAGCCGCAGTGGGCATATGAAAGCAGCATAGAGCATGTCATGTTATTTTACCAGAAATTGAGTGGCTTCCTCCCCTACTCCCTCCTTGATGTTACAAATAAAACATTTTTCCAGGCTCCTCCTGCTGTCATGTTTAGTCACAATGCTGTAACTGAAAATATATAGCAAAGGCTTGCAAGAAAAGCCTACTCTCGTTGGAAGCATAAATGTCCTTTAGTCTGGGCTTTACTGGGCTGGATCTTTGATTTGTTATAAACCAAGGAGAGCAGCCCAGACTACTCCGTGGTGACCTCTGAAAACAAAAAGAGAGGCATTTTCTTTTTGATGTTGATCTGCAATTTCTGCCTCACTATTTTTATGTTAGATCCCTCTCTCAGATGCAGAATTTGCATAACAAAACCAAACCAAAGCCTTGGTGGACAGAACATAATGGCAAACATTTTTTCAGTCACAATGTAAAGCCATAGACAGGTATACGGTGACATACACTGACAGCAAGAGGGATTCTCAACCAAAAATATCATAAATTAAGCATTAATCAACACACCGGGAGACAGCAAAATGCTCCAATGATGCTAATGACCACGTCGTGTGAAATGGCAGGTCTGCCAGTATACAGTTAGCTTGGGTGGCATGAATTACAAGTTGTTTGCTACGGCCACCTCACAATAGCACTATTCACTAGTGCACTGGTAACGCGGTGATTGGCAGATCTTTGGAACAGCACGGTGCTGCAGCTGGATAATTCCAGCATATTCCTGGTTTAAGTACAATGAGAACATTGAATTCTAATTATGTCCTCCCTTCAGTGTCCTTTCCCTGGGCAGAATGAGCCAAAATCTATTTTTGTGTCTCTCCAGTGAAGTTACACAAAGCATGAATTTGGCTATTTAGCGACCCTGACAAATCTACTGCTGGTATAACAACAACAATAAGATTTCTCATATTTATAGTTTCATTCACAAGTCTTCACAGACTCATTCAACACTGGGGGAGCATCATCCCTCTTCTTACAAAAGTGGTAAAGATTTTGCAGAACAAGTAGTGAAACTGGAGCTGGGAGTCAGGTAGTTGGATTCCCATTACCCTACACTATCCAAAGCACACTGCTGTCCCCACAGAATGCCGTCTCTGTACTGCTGCTGAGCACCATCAGAAAAATGTCCATTTTCAAGGGTCCCCATGGCACTAATACAAAATCAGAGTCTGAACCCTGTATCTGCTGCCATGCAAAATTTCAGTAACAATTTTCCTGGAGGGCCTGCACTCATGGAAGTTAGAAGCTGTCCTTCTATTCACTTGCCTAGACATTGGCTCAATCCTTTAAGGACTCAGAGTCACGTAGTCTTCCCAACCAGTTCTCAGGCGCAGCTATCACTTCTCAAGCACTGAATACTTGCATGCCTAATGGGTGTTTTTGAGATGCCTAAATAGTTGGCTGCTCATTAACTAGATAGTTTTCTAATCAGAATTTACATTGCTCAGAGGTGACTGCGTGTACAGAGGTAAAAATGGCTTCAAGAATGATGGTGTATCTTAAAAGCATCATTTGACCATTAGTGATGTGAAATGGTGACTGACATGTTTCTCTCCACCTCCATGGACAGAACTTCAAATTCTTCAAAGAAAGAGCCAAGTTCTTCATCAGTTGCATACTGAAATTCTTTTGGCTATGCTTCAGGAACATTTGACTTGCCAGAAAGTGATAATGGGAACCACTCAATCCCAAAGCCACAGAGTCTGAGGAGTTACACAGCCCTAAGGTGTCTTTAGCATTGTTTCTGACCCAACACCTCCTTCAAGATCAAGCACGCTGCTAGAGTTGACATCAAGCCTGCAATGTGACCTTGTGCCTGGCAAGACTCTATCCTTCTGAACACTTGGACTGGTCCAACAGCTTAGTATGTTATCAGTAGGCAGTACTCACAGCTGCTCCAGAATCTCCTCTTTCTCAATGGTATAACTAACAGTCACCTATCAGTTTTCAGAAGAGAACAGACATTTGCTTTGTGAAATCATCTTCATTAAAAAGTTTATGATCTGCACTCGAATAATAATTTTGTGGATTATTATCCCAATTGTCTACTCTGTTAAAGTTTTCACGTTGTGTGTTATCATACCTCCATCTTCATTTATCCAGTAGAGAAACAGATTCATTGTTCCAACTTCAGTTATTTGGTGATCTTCTCCATAGAGCCACAAAACCTGCTGGCAACCTAACTCCATGGCTTCTTGCTGGGCATAAATAGAGGAACCATAATTCCTTCCAGAAGAAAAAAAAAAAAAAAAAAAAAAATAATTTTGTGGATTATTATCCCAATTGTCTACTCTGTTAAAGTTTTCACGTTGTGTGTTATCATACCTCCATCTTCATTTATCCAGTAGAGAAACAGATTCATTGTTCCAACTTCAGTTATTTGGTGATCTTCTCCATAGAGCCACAAAACCTGCTGGCAACCTAACTCCATGGCTTCTTGCTGGGCATAAATAGAGGAACCATAATTCCTTCCAGAAGAAAAAAAAAAAAAAAAAAAAAAAGAATGAGCAAAAAGTTAGGAGTACCTGGTTGGGTATTTTCTCATTTCTATGCAAAGTTATGTGCACACCTACTAGTACTTTACTAGATCATTTGTATCTACAACCAAAGAAATTTAAAGGGCTGAGCAGCATCAACAGTTCCTACATATCAGCCAAACTGTCTTAAAAATACCTCTTGATATATTTTCTGGACATCCTAATCATTGCAATTAGACACCTTAGGAAAGCATTTCTATTTATTTAGCAGTTGGCATCCTGGATAGAAAGCAACAATTCCCATCCAGTTCATGTTTTTTAAAAAAAGCAAAACAAAACCATCTACCTCATCTATGTCAGATGAACAGATGGGTCATATATGTCAGATGAGCCTCTTCAAACATAAAAATCACCAGAGGCGAGTTATTTCTTTTCTAGTAAAAGACGTTCACAGAATTAGTAGCTTCAGGAGCTGCAGATGGGTCTTGATGAATTTCATATCCTTGAGGAGCAACTGCTTTCCTAAAATGCCGCCTACAGCCTGTACCTGACTGATTAATGTGTATTTACTCTGTAGCTGCTCTGAGGGGGGAAAAAAAACCCAGCCCTTTCACTTCTGGTGTTCCAACAACCATCAAGACCCTGAGTCAGCAGCTCCACAGTTCTGTCAGTAGTGACTCCAGACTATTCCTTTTTTCATAGCTGATGTGTGAAGGATGCAGAGGAAACAATAAATATATTTTAAAACTAACCAAAACCCCACAAAGTGTAAAGGTCTCAGAACATCAGACCAGATGAGGAAAGCTGTTTTCTAGTTTCTTGTTTGATTATTCTAGTACCTCAGCTGAGCAGCACTTGGCAACTACTAACTTCCTGCTTAGAAGAGAAACTCCCAGGTAGAGACAATAAGCTTCACTTAAATCAAAGACCAAGGACGCATAATCGAGTCACTTATTTAGCCACATCCAAGTTGCTTGCTCCAGTCAAGTCCTAAGCAGCTTCACTCTACAAGTCAAGTACTTTGACATAAACAATTATATTACTTAACTGTTCTGCTAGACTATGGTGAAGTCAATGCAGATAATGGTCTCATGCTTTCCCTTACACACCCCCATTCCCCTAACTAGCTGCAGATGGCTTGTCAGGACGGTTTGTGAAGGAAGGGGGTCAGCAGTCAGTGCTGTTCACTGCCACGTTGGCAGCAAGCTGCTGTACTGAACACTGCACCAGAGAACCGATATCTTCAGTGTCAACTTCTGCAAGGGGAACAGCCAAAGTATTACATGGACACCTTCCAGGTCCAGTCCCTCAGCTTGAGATGCTGAAAAATTGCCTCTGCAAGTAGTCCACTTGGCTGTAATATCCAAACAACAATATGCAACTGAATTGTATAAATAATACTTGCAAAGTACAATTTTGAAATCTTTGCTATAGTACATTGTTTGTATAACTGCTACATTTAATACCTCTACTTCTGCTGGATTAGATACTTCCCTAAAAACCAAATCTCCTTTGAGAGCTACATAGAAGACGCAGAATTATGTTTTCTTACCCTCCCAGTTTGCAGTCTCCTGTTCCTCCTTTCCAGGCTCTTACATATTTTGGATCTGCCCATAAGGATATTGGATTAAAGCTTCCACTTGCAAAGTAAGGGCCCACAGGGCTCATTATGACATACAGCAGGGCTTTAGTTGGCTTCTTCACTCCAAGGGAGGGCTGAAAAAAGGGATTGGGTAGAGTTGAGTAGTGGCTCTGTGAATGGCTGCATGACAAGCTAAAATGATTTGCCCACTGGAAATGGTTCACACAACAGCAGAGGAAATAACCTGGAATGTATCATTTGGGCTTTTACCCTCATCTCTGAGAGATGACTTCTCACTTCAAGTCATCACTATCAAGTATCAATACTTGAAGGTGGACGTGGAAAGTCTGACACTGGTCAAAGTCTGAAACCTGCAGTAGGAAACTCAGCTTAACTATATGATTCTTTGCAAAACTCAGGACTGACCACAGAATGACTGAAGTTGGAATGCACCTCTGGAGATCACCTTGTCCAACCCTCGGGCTACATACAGCTGGTTGCCTGTGATTCTTGGGATCTTCTATGCAACTGAATGTGTTACTATTTTCGCTCCGCTCAGAGAAACCAAAGTCATAAAAAGAACAAGATCATCCTTGGTTTCTAAGATTAGGTCTACATTGAAAATTAGTTATTGGATTTAAATCTTTAGGACCAAAAGTCTAAGCAAAACACTGTGCACAATGCACTTGAAGCTAATTTGGGAGGTGGGAGGGAAAATAATAGAGTAATAATAGAACTACTGAAAAGCTCAAATAAGCCTTCATCAGGTGCTAAGAGGGTTCTTTTGATTTCTGTTTACATTACTCCTTCAGCAAAACTTCTAATAAGATTAACTAACCGATATCTTGATATTTTTCCTGATTCTTACACTACCATTCAAAAGATCGTGCTGACTAGGTTTCTTAATTGCACTGATTCATAAAAGATTAGCAAGAGATGCAACCTGGAAACAATATATGACATTGTGTAAAGGCCAGGTATGTCGGCTAATCTGGAACAAAGCTCAACACCAAAAGAATTCCAAAAACAAAAATGGGGGGATTTTTTCATATATATATATAAATACTTCACAATCACTGAGTAGAGATCCTTCCACCTGAAAATCTGCAACTAGTTTACAAGCATTAAATTAACGGAGTCACATGTGAAAGGTATAATGCTCATGTATAATAACTACTTACAGATGTGACTAAGTTGCCTAGTTGGGAACTATACGTTCTTTAGCTTCCTTTTCCTATGTTCTACCATTAGAGGTTTAAAGCTTCCATTAAAATAAACTCCCTGTTTCTAATTCCCTTTATAAATACTATAGGCTAGACTTACATCCACATGAAACTCACAGAGTACACACCGATACCTCGTTGCTAAGGAGCCTTTTGTAAGGTCAGGTTTATCCATGTTTAAGAATAAACTGACATAAGAACTTGTTCTTAGTTCTGTTAAAAGTCTGTCTCAGAAAAGCCATCTTAATTTACTGGGTAGAATCTTCCAAAATCTCCTTACTAACTTCAGGATAGAGATAAAAGATGAAATCACAAAATCTACGCAGAAGATTTATTTTCCCTCACATTTTCTCCGGACTATTAGCATTTTAAAGGCATGCATTCAAATTTCACGAACAACTATGGTTTTAGTACAAAACCGAAGGTAATTTAAATTTTGCCATTACTGCTCAGAACAGTTTAAGTTTACTTTCTGTGATCTTAATCAATGTGTCCACTAGGTGGTGGTGTGGTCAACCTAAATTTGTGAACTAGAGCCACAGGTGACTTACTCAGAAGTAAAGACATAAAAACACATTGCCCCTGCACTGTAATACTGTTGTCTAGTGACTGCTGTGTATTTCCCTTTATGGTCGGAGGCTTTTGCCTCGTGTTTAAATACACAAAAGTTCAGAGAGGGGGGAAAAAAAAAATGCTTCACACCTCAGTTCCAATTAGGGTAGGACGGATATACAGGCTGGCAGCGGTTGAGTATGGGACCCATTCCTTTTCCACTTCCACGAGCTTCCGGATGCACTCTAACAGCTCATTCTGGTCAAAACGCTGGGAAGGAAAAGCAAAGAGAGAAAAGAAAATGGAGAAGTGTAGCCTGGACACTCTTTGGTCTTTATAGATCCATATGTTAAGGGGAACACTTCATCAGGATGTGTAACAGTGATGGTCTGTAGAGCTTCATAGGACTGCATCAGCTTCCTTCAGTTAATTTCTTACAGAACTTAGGATCCCATGGTCCTTGCCCGGTGCCTTTTAATACAGTACCCTGAATGCCCTCCTGCTGCTACAAAATATCCTCCTGAGATAGTAAAAAAGGAGCCAGTGACCCTTCTTGCCTCCAAAGCACATGGCAAGAACTCCCTGTGCAGCCAACACCTTCACTTTGGCAAGCTATGGCACCACCTCTTCTGCAGAAGGGTGCTTTGGGTTATAACTCCAAGGGGTCCACCAAGCCTCCCAGCTTTATTAAGTTGCAAAGTTCTTACAGTAATAAAGCTAATAAGCATGGGAGGAAATTCACAGGCCAATACACTACTGCTAAAAGCAGCCTGAAGTTGCTAGCATGACCAAAAATGAAGGCACCCCGAGGCTGAAGGACTTAACTGGAGTGGAACGAAGAAAAGGGAGAACGTTAGCACCAGAACAATTTCACCAGCTGTCTGTGTGCAAATACCTGCAGGTCAGCACCCATCCCTCAGAAGTAGACTGTGTACATCTGAGGCGGTAGGGAGACAACAAAGAAAGCAAAACACTGTTGTGATTTAAAAGAAAAATGAATTTCAAAGAGTTCACTTAAAGTTTTAACGGAACTGTTCGAGAGTTAGAGCGTTTGACAAATGTTACACTACTGTAGAATTTCAGAGATTTGCACTCTGAAAATGAAAATATGCTCGGACTTAAAGAGAATAAAATGCCTTGGCTACATACTGGCAGAGCTGCTCGTATTGCTGACCGTGCCATCCTGTCCATGTTGAGAGTTGGCCGGAACAGGCGGATTTTGCCATCCACTCCTCGGTAAGCCTTCATGCCTTCAAACAACTACCAAGCCAAAAAGAAGGGAAAAGGAATTAAATAACAATTGAGATATGTTATCACATGATGATCTATGCAAAAGCAGGACACACCCTTTGGAAATAAACGAATTTCACTTTCCTGCTCGCAGCACTCAAAGTATAAATGCTAACTAGTTAATCCTTGCAACACACTCCTGTGAGGTACTATTATGAAATTTATATCACAACGACAACCTGCCTGTGCGTCAGATATATTTTTCTTTCAAGGAACTTAATTATAACCATTTTTGTTCATAATTTGGTTACAACAATTAAAATTTGTAGCATGTGTTCGATTTAACTATTTCCTCCCATCCTGACTGATACCTAAGACTGAGCCAAAACAGTATTCTCCCTTAAAGAAAAGATCTACAGGAAGTAATTATATAAGTTAAGAATTTTTAGAGCTCTGTCCCAAATGCATTTTGGTAGGAAACATAGCATAAGGTAATCAGAGGAACTCTGTTGCAGTTCTTGCTGTAGCAAAATCTTTGTCACTTATTTTCCCCTATGCTGTAGAAGGGGGTTTAACTAGCATGAGAGACAGAGGCATCAGCCTTATACTGGAGGAAGAATGCATGAAAATGTTTTGTCTATAGTTTACAGGAAACTTAAATTAATCATAATTATCCCATCAAACCACAAAATGCGGATGACTGGTGTTGACAATCAATTTACCAGAAACCTTTATCCCACCAGTACCCTCCCAGCAGAATGCTCTACAGCACCTCCTAACCACAGCAGAAAACATAGGCCCACAAAATATCTACTGCTATTTTCAGGTACAGATTGATAATTTCCATTTAGAGGCAGAAAACACATATATTATATCAGGTCACAATAATATATACATATATAGAGGTATTATTTAGATTAAGTATTAAAGGATCATTTATGCTTATAGGAAAGGGTTCAGATTTTTAGAATTTATTTTCTAAAGCATTTCTTTATACATTGAATTTCAGTGTAAGTTCTATGAATTTAACTGCATCACTACTGTCAGTCTCCTCATACTTCTCCTCCTGACTATTCCACAAAAAATGGCTGTAAACACATTCTGTGTGGCTGGAAGTCTACAAATGCAGGTGTTTTATTTGGACAAAAGAATCCTGTATTTGTATATAAGTAATTTAATAGAATACTCACAGTTTCATTATTAAATTCTGTAAGATTTTCCCAGTGAAATGCAATGTTTAGAAAGCTTTTGTGCAGCCCCATGACAGAGCTACGTCCTTCCACATGACAAATTTTAATTGGGTTGTAACTGGGTTGTGGGAATCCCTGCAATTTTCCTTAGGCTACATGCCAACTATGTAGCAGAACCTAGAACTTTTTGCTTCCACCGTTTATCTTCCTCCTGTGGCAATGCCAACCTTATTAAAAGTTTTGTACTCAGTTTGGAAAAAGAAACTGCTCCTAGGATAGACATTGTAGCTACAAGAAAAACATTCTGTCTTTAATCAAGGATGGCATAGCTGGTGATAGGGTTGATACTTTGGTAGAATTTTTATTGGGCCAGTGACTAACACCATAATTCTGTATTGCTAGTTTCTTACCACAGAACGGTTGTTTCCCCCCACCCTTCTCCCAAACACATTCACAGAACTTTTAATGAGAGGGAAGAGGAAGGAATGTTACTACTAAGATTTGACCAATGGTTTGAGAAATGTAAGAACCACATAATTGCTGAAACACAAAGCCTTCTCAAGCTGTTAAATCTTTTTCTTCAAAAAGAAATGCCTTTAACCTACCAGAGCTCAGTAAAACCTTTCACCCATTAAAAAGGGAGACAGTGATGTGTTCCAGAAATGCTCAACTTGAATAAAAGCAACTGCTGTGGTTGCTTGATGGTTGCTTGCTACTGTGGTGTGCAAACAATATTAACTAACATCTTTACATCACAGGAGCTGGATCTGGAGTTCAGCAGATCCAGATTATCACACTGCATCATGGAGGGCAAGGAAAAAGGGGAGGGAATGCCAAATTCATCATTTTTGTTATACCCACTGTGTATTCATTGAGCCACAGCATTGGCACCAGATTCTCCTCTGTCTGTCCTCTTGGCTAGAGGAAACGTGATGCAATAAGGTAAAAGAATAACAAATGGGAAAAAAAAATAAGAGCATATTCATGTTAGCAATGATTTCAGACTGGGCCAGAGGCCGAGCATTAAAGCAATATGCTACTAAGAGTGAAATACAGATTTGGGACTCCAGCGTGGTTTCTTACTTCGTGGGCAGATCAAGAGCTGCAGCCTTAGTCACAGGGGCCTGTTGTAATTTGCACAGGACCTTTGGAGGCTTGGTGACTAGATGGGGAAAAATCAGTGACAACAAAAAATGGTGAAGGCAGGGGCTCAGGGACAACAAGCAGGGAAAAGCTTGATTATTCCCTTACACCAGTGGTTAAAAAAAAAAAAGAAAAGAAAAGAAAAGAAAAGTAAAAGAAGCTCAAGCAATTCCACTATCTTCAGTGGAGACACTCGCACCCACCCAGAAGTGGGAGGAGAAGCAAGCTTCCATTTCAGCATAGGTGCCCTACTGAGGCCCTCACACAGATGTGAGTATAGCCAAAGCTGCTCTGGAGACACAAAAAGCGGCTTTAGACAGTAAGCAGCTAAGCACGGAAACTGTTAACCACGCTGGTTTCCGACTTAACATTTCACTTTCCGAAGTTCCTTGCTGTATATTCTCTGCTTCTCAATAGACTTGTATATTCTGAATGCGTCAGATCTATGTCGGAGACCACTTAAAGCATCTTTCACAAAGTGCTTGTTCAGTCCCCAAATTAAAGCTATTCATGGAATCTCACACGGTCTTATCCAGTGCTTCATTAAGCTACATCAGAGACAGTAATTGGACTGATCCACTGTCAGCGAACTAGAATTCTTTCTCAAATGAACTTGTCACCACACAAGAATGGGCTCACCTTCAGTAGGCTAGAAAGTGAACTGGAATCCACAGGCCAGAGTCGCTTCGGAGTTATACTAACATAAACATAACCCTGTTGTCTGGAAGGACATCAGTTAACAAAACAAAGCTCAATACTAATACACTTAAGATGGCAGTAGTCCTTGTATTACAAAGCTATGGCTTCAAGTGCTAATGAAATAAAAATAGCAGTTTCCAAATCTATTCAGTACTCACTTCTATAGCATAGTGCAGAGACGAGGAGGCTGGATGCAATGAAAGGTTCCCAAGAGGCTTAATATAAGGTTTCTCCCATCCTGAAGCCAAGGACCATTCAATTGTCAGCATATTATCAGTGAACACAGTTCCAAATACCAAACCATTGGGGTCTGGTTTTTCCTTGAAAGTTGTAGCTGGGGTGATAATCAAGTCTGAAGCCTGAAGGAACATAAAAACAAAAATTAAGTGTATAAAAACAATTAAGTCAGACCGATTCAAAAATTACTCTGCATCAGTGAATATGGACAAATGAAATATTTTATTTGTGGGGACATTTAATGGCAGAACAGTTACAGGTGGCTAACCTCTAAGAAGCTGGCAAAGTATCCATACTGTGTATGCATACATATATGCAGTGCTGTTTATACCAGAAGTAATTAGCTTATTTCGAAACCCTGTTAAGTGGAGGAAGCAACACAAGGGGTAAAACCAGAAAATTAGCAGATGAAAATTCCTTGGACATTTAGATTAACACATCTGTACAAGTTCCAGAAACACCAAATTGCTGTACCTCAGAACATAAGCTGATCATCAGAAATTAATCCCCCTCACAACTAAGTAGATACGTTACGCCGATTTTCCTTTAATGCATAAAACCAATGTGAGAGATCAGAGCCAGCAGTCAGCAGATTACTTGGGTCACACTAGCTTATTTAATCACGTTCATATTTTCCTAGAAAGATCCCATTAGCAAAGAAGGCTAAACGTTTCCCTGCATCATTAACTCCAGAGACTTTCCCTAACAAGTCATGACTAGCTGCAGGAATGCAGCATCGTTTTTTGTACTGGTTTTAGCTGGGAGAGAGTTAATTTTCCTTATAGTAGCTTGTATGGTGTGAATCATCCTAAAGAACAGCAAGAAGGAAAGCAGGATCTCTGGCACGTCACTCCCCTTTTATACACAGATAGGGGCTAAACAACTAGAGAGGGCTATGAAGTGTGCAGCCTTCTCCATACTCTTTCTATGTCATCTGAGGATTTAACGTGTGCTGGTCAGACAGGCAAGGAAGGATTCAACAAAGAATTGTATTTGAAGCTCCATTGTCCTTCCTAACGTGACTCAGAAAGCATGGACCCTTATTACAGACCCCCAAGGGAAATCTTACTGCTCAGTGCTGGGCACATACAGGATAGACTGGGACACTAGTAGCGTAGTTCAGGTAGTTCAGATTATTGCTCAAATGATTTGCACGTGCACTAAAAAGGCGGTTCTGCAAAAGATATCACCGATTTGATTTTTCAAGATCAAGCACACATTTTGCAAAATGAGAAAGAATCAGTCCAAAGCTTTTGAAAAAGAACACACCCCCATCTTTGTAAACAACCTAATTTTCCACATGTCTTTAATCAACAATGGCTTAGTTTTTGTTGATTAGTTGGTTTTGGTTTAGGGGTTTTTTTGATTTACTTTTTTCCTTGCTTAATGACTTAGATGTGAAATTAACTTAGAGCTGGAGCACACGCACAGCTAAAAGCTTGTTTCAAACTATCTCCAATTATAGGGCTTGTCTAGATATTGCAGTGCATTAGTCTGGTTGAACTAATAGATAATCTGATGAAACAACAATTTCTCTTCTGAAGTCTTTAGAGCACCCTTTATCCTGCTGACAGTAGATGTGCCAATGAGAAAAGCACTACTTAGTGATGTCCTGAAAATAGAAATGAATTTTACCTGACAATCTCTTATCATGCACTTTGGAAAAAAAGATATCACAGAAAAGCCTGGATCAAAACAAAAGCCACAAAGGAGTGTTTGCAATTAGTCACAATGCAAGACTCGGCTCAGGAAAACACTTATGCAGGAGCAGGATGTCAATGGGGCATACGCAGGGATGTAGAACACACTTAAACTCTTCCTTTATCTCTGGACAGAATCACAGCTTTCAAAGAACTCCCACTGCCAGCGGGCAGCCGCTGGGTCAGCCAGTCAAGGCTTCTTTCTCATCTCAGCTCATTTTCATTAAGGTCATCATCATCTCCACAATAAACTGGCCTGGGGACCAGCATTATCTCATGGAGGCTCATCCCCTAGAACTCCCATCAATGTGCTGAGTTTTGCTTTTATGCCTCAATGTCCCACTTCCTCAGTTGTGGTAGCACAACTAGTTGAAAGGTAGCACTACAAAACAGCCTGCTAAGCTTATTTGGGCGAACAAACAGCATTTACTTTACAGATGGGGAAAGACTTTGATGTGGCTCATCTCACAGACCCACAAGCATATGTAGGTGGAGCAGCAAGCTGCAGCCGCAAGTGAAGAAACATGCTCACTTTGGAGCATTTGGGCTTTCTTTGACCCAGTTTTGCCACCAAAGATATTTCTCCAGCTTTGGAGACCTTGGTGGCTTGAGAGAGCCTCGGACGGAGTCTCTCTCATGTGAGCCATAATTCAATAAAATTATGCTGATCAAATACAAGCACACTGTTACACTCTAATGGTTAATGCAAAGAAGGTCCCAGATCCTGAGTCCTTCCTATGCTGGCTCATTAGAAATAAGAGGTGGGCCAAGTGCTCGCTCCTGCGAGTTCAACAGAGCGGGCACCACTGTGTGATAGCGGTCACGCAGCAGTGCCCGTGGCTCAGAACAGTAGCCCACACTGCTTAGCCCTCAGCCCCCACGACTGGGGACTTTCTGCAGTCACACACAGAAATCCCCGGACTGGATTTTGGGTTGAGTCACTTGAAGGCAGAAAGACTAGAGAAGTAGGTAGCTATGATGCTTATCCGGGAATGTAGCAAATAACTTCTGGATCACAGAGCTTGCTGGAGCTGCACACTCTGAGCAAGGAGCCCGCCTGCTGTTTCTCACTTATTTCAGCATTTATTCAGGCGTTTCGCAAACACCTGACTCAACAATATCAGGTACAACTTGACCCATAACAACTTCCTTCAAACAACAGTAGGAATACCCTGCAAAAGACCACAAATATAAGCTAAACACCACAGACCAGTACGGCAACAATGAGGAAACTGGCAAGAAGACAATTTTCCTGATCCTTATAATCCCGTTAGGCTTACGGGAGATGCATTTAAGATTTATGGTTTTTGACCATTATATTATTAAGATCCTTTCTTAAGGCTCTTCCCCCTTATTCATTCTGCTGTATTTTTTCTCCCTCTTTTACCAAGCAGTGAGTAACAGCATGCAAAATCACCTGAATCTTTCAGAATCCTAATGCTTTTTATGTCAAGACACCACCAAGAGCTGCAATACATTCCATCTTTTTTTCCCATGGAGGGGTATGAGGGTGGGGGAGCTGGAGAACCCTCCCTTGGAGTACTCTCTCCCACAGTGTGGTCTGAGGCATGAAGTACTGCCTGCACCCTCAACCTCTTCTGGGTCCCTGAGTGGCAAGACCCCCTACATAACATCTTGCTTGGCCCACAGACCCTTTTGTCTCAACTTGCCCCAGCATTTTGTGGTGCTGCTCAAGCAGCGCTAGCAGGTGGGAAACCAAACACTCAGAAGAACCCGCACAGAGAGCGGAGCAAGGCCAGGTGACTAATACCAGGGGAACTGATTAAGTATCAATGCCTATTTCTTTAATATCATTTATTAAAAAAACGTTATCACAGTGTTACCATGGTATCACCTATGACCTTTATAAACAGCGATTTATTTCTTTCCTTTGTCAACAGCCCTGAAAGCAGCACTAAGGATGCATTAACACCCATCCAGATCTCTGCTGTTTGTACTGCCAATACAAAGGGCAATTTTCAAGCAGGTTTGTTTTGCTTGCTTGGTTTACACATGTGCTCTCAAGCACCTTCTAATGCTGCTGCCTAATAAAACCATTACACTGGAAGGAGAACCGGTAAACGCAGGGACAAAAATGATAAGGGAGATAAAGAAAGAAACAGATGTGGCACACAGTCTATTGAGTGCAGCTATTTGGCCCGTTGCCTAAAGTAAAATGACAAAGACGTAGTTCCAGCCCTGCAAACTTTGCACGTCAGCAGTACAGTACATACAAGATATAAATGCCTAGGTGCCAGCCCAGGGCACTCCAGTATAAGTAAAAGGAAGATCGCCCAGATTGCCCTGCCTATGGTAGGCAAAAGGGGACGGTGGGGAAGCCAGTTGGATACTGTTGATTTTCAGGGCTTATATAGCAATGCTACACCTACAAACAGCCGCTGTCTTGACCAGACACACCTTTTTGAACAGCCCCTCATCTGAAAAGTGCCTGCTGCTTCCGACGTAACTACTTCCAGAGGGAAGCTTTATCCAGCCCAAGCAAAGAAGATATATTGTGACCTCCTGAAACTAAAATTCATCATTTGATCAAAACAGATCTTGTCAATTACAAGCTAGGTCAAATCAAAAATGACATGCTGGTCAGTGTCAATTTTAGCCAAAGCTGAGACATTCTGGTGCCTCTAGCTAAAATGTCAGTTGAATGCTTATTCTACCCAGCCTTTGCAATAGCCTCAAGTGGATTTGGAGCTGACAGAAGCCTTTGGCCAGAACTGTTACTCTCATTACTACAATCCTACCTTTCTTACCCTAGAGAGCTGTCTTGGGTAGGTGCAGATGGCAAGTAAATATTCTACTCTTTCCATCAAATTTTGCCAACAGCTTCCCAAATGATCCCTGGCTGCAGTTATTTTCACTGTGCCGAAACTGCTAGACTACAAGCAGCTGTAACAGGTGTAATTCATTTGACATACCCAAACTTTTCTAAACACTGCACTGGGCCAAGCATTTCTATCATGAGTAAAACCAGAACTGGCAGCCTCAGCTGTAAAATAACTTACGAGTTACCGAACTGTAACAGCAAGTTTCAGCAGAGATCCTCAAGACGTGAACATCAACTCAGTGAGACTGACTGTAACTTATTCAGATCAAACAAGCAACCGCCCTGACTTGTAGTCAAGGTGATTCATTCAAGATCACAAAGCAACTGCAATTATTATTTTTTATTACTTATGCAGAGTTTGTAAGCATATCCTAGGAAAGATCAGGGCCTTCTGATGCAATAGCGGACACGGAAGCGTAGGCGAATTTGAGTATCTTGGTTTTGCCCTTGCACTTGTGAACACTGAAATGTGGTTGCAGTAGCAGAGCAAATTTTGAGAAGGATAGAGATTACAACGAGCGTAAGGAATTACTATAAAGGGGAAATGTAACAAAGCGTAGCCTGGGGGAGTTGAAGAGAA